AGTCACCTCAGACTTCCTCGCCAGGGGGAACACTGTGGTATAGCGGGAGTAGTCGTCAACGACCACCAAAAAGAAACGCTCACGCTCAGGGCCAGGGCAAGGAGAGGGGCCCCAGACGTCCAAGTGCAGCGTCTCAAAAGGCTCGGTGGCCGGACGAAGGGAGGAGGAGTGAGGGGTGGCACGCAGCCTACCCTCGACGCAAGGACCGCACGGTGGTGCAAGGGACGGCGGCAGCGACGGCAAGACACGCGGGAGACCTAAGACCAGACGCTGACTAGACATAGCACGCAGACGTGGAAGAGAAGGGTGTCCCATCCGGTGGTGCCACAGAACGGTGGGGTGGGCAAGCGACCGACAGGAGCAAGACGCAGCGACTGGACTGGACGCGACAACCTGAGGGGACGGAACCACCTGGTGAGACGCAGGGAGGAGACTAGGGGGAGGGACAGGAACTGGGAGGAGTGGCTGCTGCGACGGCGGCCGCTGTGGCTGCGGCTGCTGCTGCTGCCGCTGCTGAGGCTGCTGCTGCTGCTGCTGCAGTCGCTGCTGAGCGCGCGGGCCAGTGTGAAGAGTGTAGAGACCGGAGCCCGGCTCAGCAGCAAAAGTGGCGAGAGGCTGGTAAGAGTCCCCGTCAACACACACCGCAGTCTCTCCAGAAGGCTCAAACCACACACCCACGTGCTGACTCACAAGGGGTCGCACGCCCACCAAGTTCCGGGAGAACGAGGGGACGTGAAACCCAGTGAGAGACCCAGAAGGAGCAGCCGGACACGGCAAGGTGGTAGTGTGACGCGCGGTGACTGGTCCCGAAGTGGGATCAGCCAGCGCCACAGAAACAGGCGCAGGAAGAGGCGTAAGTGTCGTGCTGTCACGAAAGAAGCAGTGAGAGGCTCCAGAGTCCAGCGTGAACGACAGCGAACCGTCCTCTGAGGTAGCCGCTGGACTAGAGTCTACACAAGAACCTACACTAGCAACAGGCAACTGAGCAAGGCTAGCACCTAAGCTAACAACACCAGAGTAAGCAGAGTCAGAAACACTAGAGTCAACAACAGCATACATAGCATGAGGAGCACCAATCAGATCAACTAACTGCTCAGCAGACATGCCCCACAGAGCGGAGCCGTAGCGCTGAACCAGAGGAAGCCAGTCAAGGGCAGGACCGCCAACCCCGTAGGCCAACCGGACCGTGTCAGTGAGCTGAGCAAAGCACTGACCAGGGGGGTGAAAGCGGCCACAAGGGTGGCCCCGACGAGGACCTGTCAGAACCTGATAGGTGCAGGGAGGGTAAGCAGCACCACGCTGGGGCTGACGCAGCCCCGACCCCGGAGCCAGCTGCTGACGCTGCTGCTGCTGAGGCTGCTGGGAGGAGAGGGGCTGCTGCTGCTGCTGAAGCCGCTGCTGACGCTGAGCCTGGTACCACGCCGCTGCTCCACCTAGCGGGGCCGGCAGTACAGGAGACGACTGACGAGCTCGGGTGTCGCCACCACCAGCAGGCGCAGTGGAGTCACCAGCCGCTGCACGAGAGGTCTCTCCAGACGCTGCACTCCCACCACCGCCAGTCGCAACAGCACCCCCACTACCTCCGCTACCTCCGCCTCCACCTCCACCAGAACCACCTTTCTTGCCCCCCTTGCCGCGGGACCGCGACGCAGTCGTAACAGCAGCTGCAGTCGCGTCAGTAGCGGCAGTGGCAAGAGAGGCAGTGAAGGTGGGTAACTGCGGGACTGTGCACCCGTGGAAGAGTGGGGGGGGCACAGCACCAGAGGCGGCAGCTACCGAGCGAAGGTTGCTCTCGACGTCCTTGAGCGCAGACTCAAGGACCTCAACTGTCAGCTCACTAGGGTGCTTCAGCAGGAGCGCGTCACGTACGGAGGCAAGGCGGTCAGGGAGGCTAGTGGCGATGAAATAGATAGTAATCGCCATGGGGGGAGGAAGCAGTGCAAGCTGTGCCTCAGTGCAAGCAGCACGGTAACTAGCGTCGAGCGAGCGGAGGTGAGCGATCAAGTCAGCAGAGCGCTCAAACGAGGCGAGATCAGGAAACAGGAACGGGAGGAAAAGACGGCCAAGAGAGACAGTAGCGGGAGTAGAGTAGCGGGCCTTAATCGCAGTGAGGTACGCAGCAGCGGTGCGAACCTGAGTGAAGTGGACCTCCTCTGACTCAGGGAGGAGGCTGCTGAGTGCGATGCAGGCCGCAGCGTCACGCGACGTCCAAGCCGTCCTGTCAGCGCGCTGACGGGCAAAGCGAGCCGTAGCAGCATCGTCAGGGGCAGGACCTAAAGCGGCAGGCTCGGGGGGCTCGGGGAGGTCACCAGTAGCGTGCGACCAGAGGGTCTCGCCCCCCTGGACTTGACTCTCTAACAGACGGCGAGCGCGAAGGAGCCAGACGGAAAAGTCAAGAGGTCTGCCGTCAGCGTCGAAACGAAGAACTCGCGGAGTCGCCATAGCGAAAACTAACGCGAACGAGCAGGCGAGTAACAGCAGGAGGTAAGAGGCAAATTAGGGTTCAGGTGGGACTTAGTCGCAGCGGAAGAGCGGGCTAGAGCGACGGGCCAGGGCGTAGGGTCGACGGGACGGGGGAAAGGGCGGGCACGATGCGACGGGGCAGGGCGACGCGACGGGGGAGGGTGACGCGACGGGGTAGGGAGACGGGACGGGGCGACGGGACGGGGCAGGGCGACGGGACGGGACGGGGACGGGACGGGGCAGGGGCGACGGGACGGGACGGGGCGACGGGACGGGACGGGGCAGGGCCGCGGGACGGGACGGGACGGGGACGGGACGGGGCAGGGGCGACGGGACGGGACGGGGCGACGGGACGGGACGGGGCAGGGCGACGGGACGGGGCAGGGGCAACGGGACGGGGCAGGGCGACGTGACGGGGGGAAAGGGCGCGACGCGACGGTGGGAAAGGGCGCGACGCGACGGGGGGAAAGAGCGCGACGCGACGGGGGGAAAGGGCGCGACTCGACGGGGGGGAACGGGCGCGACGCAACGGGGGAAAAGGGCGCGACGTGACGGGGGGGAAAGGGCGCTAGGCGACGGGGGGAAGGGCGCTAGGCTCGGCACTAGGCGCGGTAACAACGGAACCGGTACGAACGAGAGGTAGGATCAGGCTCGGGAGATACGAACGGAGAACGGAGGAACGGGATCCCACAGGATCCTAACCTAACTGATACCATGTCAAAATGAGGAATGGATGATGCATTGATGTTGGTTGGGGTACATATAGCTAACCCTAAGTTTTGTACCCCCTAAGACAAACCTCACTATAGGCTACAACATTTGACACAAACTATCTCACTGCGTGCGAACCTTCCTGAGTAGATCCTAGGCCACGATCAACTTCTGATCGCAGCAGCTACGATTGCTATTTAAACACATACCGGTATTAAATCAATTACTATTAACAAGTTCGATACAAAGACTTCAATTGCCTTTCTACAACTTGGCTGGCTTATCCGATCCACTGTAATCCTCAGTTATATCAACATCAAGGGAAACATAGTAATTTACTCTGATAAAATCAGCCCCAATAACAACTTCTACAATGATAAACACATTAATTGCAACCTTATTGAAAGATATAAAGGGTTCCCCATCTTATAATTATGGATGTTTTTTCATATTTCTGGAACATGGGATATTATAATACCATTTGTAAATTGGGCAATAATCATTGTTACAGCCTGATAAATTACGTGATTTGTATTGTGGGGACACAACGCTCCAGACCTGAGGGAGGTGCGATGAACATCTACATGGGTTTACGTGCGAACGCAGCAAAACTTGGGTGCTTTGCTTTGCATGTCGCTACCAGTCCCAACCGAACGGACAGCATGGTAGGTTCGGGGCTGTGTTACCAAGGAGGTGACTGAGGGTTCTGGAATTGAGTTTCTGCAACCAGGCACGCGTTCCTTGCTCGGATGTGGTCCCAAAAATCACAGCGCTTACATAAACCTCCCCGAACTCCCCCAACCCAACCCAAACCTCCCCGCGGCCCCAACCAACGACCGTGTCTCACTTCAAACTCACCTTTGAGCATCTTCGCACCCGTAGGGATTGCCCGCAAGCAATCCCGCGAGCGATGCCCCTCCCTGTTTGACTCAGCTCACTCCCATGTGGTGTACTGCTGTACTGTTCGTGTACGAAGTGCACCTCCACACCACACCATACACTTTTTTTTTGTCGGACTCTTATGGGGAGGAAGAGGACCACGCCGCCAATTCCCGCTACGATCACCTCAGCACAACGTAACCAACCACCATCCACAACGGCCCTCACTTTGCCATGAAGTAGAGTAGCAAAGCAACCAAGTAGTCCGTGTCGCTAGCCTAGGTTCCGAACCTAACAAGACTAACTCTGCAGCAAGCTCTGTTTTTGTTGTGACATGCTGTACCAACTGCAATGTTCTAGAGTTTAGATGGTCGTCATTCACTAATTCCCCCCGCTGCTTGCACCCACGTCCCGCAAATTGGTGCAATTCCCAACAAATTTTCTCTCACTCAAGCACGCGCGCCGCCTTCACGCCACGTGTGCATTCTCTTGCCTGTACCATATGTCCTCGCCGAGCCGAGCTTCGCCGCTAGCGGCACTGGCGTCGAGGAGAAGTCGGCCGGCACATGGCCCTTGTCGCCGTGCCAGCCGCAGTGTCGTTTAGTCCCCCTGCCAGGCTTCCATTCTCCTCCAGTTCTCCAAGCAACCTCGTTCCTACCCATTCCACTTTCCCTTCCTCCTACCCCGCCGCCGCCGCTGCCGCCGCTATCGCTGCCCCCGTCGCCGCTCACGGACCAGTGGGGCGCGCGGCTGCGCAACAGGCCGGACGCGACGGGCAGGCGCGGAAGTGCATTCCCCCTTCCGCTTCCGCGGTGGCGCAATAATCTTGGCTGAAACGCTGGGCGATTTGGCAGGCGAGGCAATGTCGGACGGGACGGAGTTGGCCGCCGGGGAGGAGGGTCTGCGCAAACAACCAGCAGAGCCAGCTGCTGATGTCGTAGCAGACAATGACGCGTACAATCCCGCCGCTGCGTGTGCTGCTCCCGCGGCATCCGCTGATGGCGGAGCGCTGGTTACAGCTTCAGGCTCGGGTGCGGTTCCGAACGCGACTAACGCGAAGAAACGCGCGCACATAACTTGGGCGCACGACGTGGTCTCCGCCACTTGCGCCGACGGCGCCGACATCGGCGCGCGCGGAGGCGGAGGCGTCGGCGAGTGTGAGGAGGTGGCTTTCGAGGAAGGAACGGAGCGAGAGTTGCAAGACGAGAGTTACAATAGCAGCGTTAGCACGGCTAGTACCGTTACCAGCAGTCGCGGCACGAGCACTACCAGCAACGGCAGCAACAGCAGCACCGCCAGTCGCGCCAGCGGGAGCGCTAATGGTAGTACGAGCGACCCTGCCAGGCTGAAGCCACAGTTTAGGGGCCTCAGCGTCGAGCCGCCTGCCGACGTGGTAGGTGGCGTTCGAGGTTGCTACAACTCCAATCCGACCGCTGCTCTCGCTGCTTCCAATGCTCTTACTGCTGCCGCTGCTGCCGCTGAGCCCGGTGCGTCCGCTGACCCGTCCGCTGTCTCTTTCGCGCCCGCTTTGGACACCGAAGCTGCTGCCGCCGCCGTTGCCGCCGAACGAGAACGCGGCAGTTTGGGGCGGAATGACCGTCGAGCGAGGAGCGGCCGAAGCGCCAGCGGCACGCCCGCTTCGACCCCGAGAACGGACACGTCCAAACCGGGCACGCCCAAAACGGGCACGCCCAAAACTCCTAAAACGCCGAAGACGCCGAAGACGCCGTGGGCAACGTCGGAGAATCTGACTCCGCGCAACAGAAGCGGCGGAAGTTTCGCGAGGCGCCTCTCGGCCAACGGCGCGCGGAAATCCCTGGGCTTCACGCGGAGGTTCTTCGTGGGCGAGACGCTGGGGCAGGGCGGGTTTGGGCGCGTCGATCTCTGCAGCGACATGCTGGATGGCGGCGGCGCCGGCGGCGGCGGGAAAGGCCGACGCGGCGCGCTGGCTGTGAAGACGATTGATAAGCTCGCGATGTACGAGGGGTGCCTGCGGCCCGAGCAGATGGCGGAGCGCCACGCGGCGTTGAAGCGCGAAGTGACGGTGCTGAAGCTGCTGTCGGGGCACCCGAATATTGTGCAGGTGAGCGCGGCGCGCGGGGGAAAGGGGGAAAGGGTGCAACGAGATGGGAGCTAGGATTTTTTTTGGGGGGGAGAAGGGGGAGGGGGAAGCGGGAGAGGGAAGGTGGAGGCGGAGGGGGAGGGAGAACTGGCGTGGTGTTTAGGTTTTGATACTTCCCCAATGGCATGCCATGCCATCCAGGAGGGTTTTTCTTTTTCTACTATTTCCCTCGGGCAGGGCTGCGCGACGAACGCCTGTATGCAACGGAGCGGAAGCCAGCACCGGGTGTAGAAGTCAATGAAACATACACAGCAAGATTATTTTTGAGAGGAACTGAAAGTGATTCCCATTTGCGGCAGAAATGGAGGAATCTGGCAAAAATCGGGTTTCGGATTTTGTGCATGGAGGCAGTTTCCGAAGTTGGTAACCGTCTATTTTGCGAACCTTCCCATGCTAAAACACTCCAACCTCATTCACTCGCTCTCTGCCTTGCTTCCCCCCATCCCGTTTTAGCTCCCCTCACCTCACTCCTGTTCAGTAATGAAAATCCCCCCTTCCCCCCTTTTCCTCCACCCACTCTCCTCCCTACCCCTTCTGCCCCCAATCTTTCTCCCTCTGCCCTTCGCCTCTCCCTCTCCCACACAGGTGAAGAAAGTGTACGACTCAAAAGCGAGCCTTCGAGTGGTCATGGAGTATTGCGATGGCGGCACTTTAAAGGATCGCCTCTTACAGTGCATAGAGCAGCACCAGGCTGCCGAATCAGCAAACGGGACTACTTCCTCCTTTCTATCCCCAGGAAAGCTTGTTGGTTGGGATATCAAGAGCACTATCAAGGGCATAAGGGACGGAATCACAGGAACGGTGGGTGGAGGGAACAAGAATGTGGGACGTGTTTGGGCCGGGGGGATGGAGGAGCAAGATGCTGCTGATATTTTCCGCCAGCTTGTGACAGCGGTACACTACTGCCACTCGAAGAACGTGCTGCACCGCGATATAAAGCTCGAAAACGCTCTTCTGGTCTTGGGGGAAGACGAGGAGGGGAAAAACGAGTGGCAAGGGGGAGGCGAGAAGGGTGGGAAGGGAGGTGAGGGTTGGGGGGGGCGTGCCGTGGAAAAGCATGTTAGGGAGAAGGACGGAGGGGGAGCAGCTGGAAAAGGAGGTTCTCAAAGGCGAGAAGAGCAAATGGCTGCTGCAGGGGAGGCACGGCTGGTGGCTGATGCACAAGGGGAAACAGGCAAGGGCGATTTTGAGACACAGTCTGAAGCAGATGCAGATGCGGCAACAGGAGAAGCAGCAGGAGAGACAGAAGCAGCCACAGCAGCAGAAGCAGCAGCTTCACCTGTAAGGGGTGGTGTTTCGAGAGGGGGTCTCATCCGCTCTCGTTCCTTTGACCCCCCTGAAAAGTCATCAGGCCTCCTTACCAATCCATCTGGCACCATCCCTACCTGCCACTCTGCCGACGACCCCCCTTCTTTTCGCCAACTTCCCTCCTCCCCCCTCCCTGCCACAGTCAAGCTAGCTGATTTTGGCCTCGCTATAGTGCTCTCGCCCAACAAACAGCAGGTGACTGGCAGGTGCGGCACGTCAGGGTACATGGCCCCAGAAGTGGTCTTAGGTAAGAGTTACGGACTAAGTGCGGACGTATGGAGCCTGGGAGTGGTGCTCCATGCGCTTCTCTTTGGCGAGCTACCGGTGTACAATCAAGAGAAGGACGTGGCCAAGTTCGGCGTACCTAGACCGAGCGGGAACAAGTGGAAAGCTGCTTCTCCTCTCGCGCTCGACCTGTACAAGCGGCTACTGCAGATTGACCCGGCGAATCGGATCCCGCTCTCTGATGCGCTCAAGCACCCATGGTTCAACGCTTGCAGCAGCAGCAGCAGCAACAATGGCAGCTCGGCTCGCAATGGCACTATTGCAGTGCCCACGAGTATCACTCCAGACACCACCAGTCGCAGCCCTAGCGACATTGGGAATTATTTTCGTAGAGGAGGCTCTTTCCAACGAGGGGGTGGGAGTGGGTTTGGCAGCTTGAGGAGTGGGCGGGGGGATAGGGACGGGAACGAGGGCAGCGCGAGGAGGAGGAGAGGAGTGCAGCTGAAAATCACAGTGGCTGGGAGAACTCTCGCGTTGAAAATGAAGGTGGGGGGGCTGTGGCATGCGACGATGGGTCAACAACAGAACTGAAGGGTCAATAGGATTGCAAGGTCAGCAGCATTGAAGCATAAACGTTATTGAAGGGTCAACGAGGTTGGCTGCACGTGACTGGTTTGACCTACGGTATTGGGAAAATGAAGTGCATTCGTGCATGTGATTAATTGTGCTATTTGGATTTGGTTGTTTGTATTTGTACACCATGGTGAGTGGCTAACGCTTGAGAGTCTAAACCCAAAATGCAGGTCATGCAGGTCAACGTCCCCTGATCCCTACCAGACCCTGGGCCTAGGGTCTTAGAGCGAATTCCTATCCTCGTATCAAGAGAACCTCATATCAAGAATGTACTTTTTGCCTGGTAAAACTAGCGAGAGGTTTTGGGTTTAGGGGAATTTTCAGTGGGAGGTTGATATGAGGTATTCTTGATACAACAAGGATAGGAATACGCCCTTAGAGTGTGTTCCTGTGGTCTCATGCGGTATCAGGCCAACCTCATATCAGGCCAACATCATACCGGACTTGGTGAAACTCGAAAAAAAAAAAAATCGTTAGCTCAAATTAAGGACGCGGTAAAAGTGTCGGATTGCTCGTCTCAGAATCATTTTCTAACACGGTTGTAAAAGGTTGTGTACTTTTACCGTGGTAGTATGCGAAAAGAGGGATTTCAGTGCGGTGGCCGAATCGATATTCCCTCGATCGAGCACTTTTACCGTGTTTATAGGACATGTATTGCCTGAGACCAAAATGCGCGTGCGAAACCTTTCAGGCGTGACGCATGTAGCTAGTACGCTATATGCTTAATAACATAACATGCCGATAATGGGGCTGTCATAAAAGGCTCTTAGCTAGGAAACTCTCAGAAAGTAGCTACAGCGGAATGAGTAGGATTGATAGGGTTGGGGTACACATGCCTAACCCTAACTGCTTGTACCCCATATAGCATGACCCACAACAGGGTATAACTATCAGAATACTAGCGTGAGAAGTGTGCATTGAATGAAACAGTTGGGTACAAGTAGCTAACCCTAGTTGGGGTTGTACCCCATACTGGCTACCCCACTACAGCCTACCAACATATAACAGTTTAACACACCCCCATAGGCAAAGTGGGGGAGAACAAAGGGTCACAAGACCAGTCCAGCAAAGCAACGCAAGCCCAGGGTGGATCACAACGTCACCACACTCCGAGCACAAGCAAAGGCCACAAGGCCAGTTCACATGTAGTGCTAGATATAGTACAAGACAAGTAACACAGTGATCAAAACCTAGCAAGCAAGCAAAAAGATATATATAAAGTACAGTACAAAGAAAGTCAAGCAGTAAGCAAATGAGGGAATGTGGACACAAGGCCTAAAGAAGTACAGTGCCGCTGATGATCACTAGGCGGGAGCGCCTTGGTGAAGATATCAGCAGTGTTGGCCTTCGAGTCCACGTACACAAGCCGAAGCTGACCTCGCTGCTGCAGCTCTCGAGCAAGAAAGTAGCGAAGAGCAATGTGCTTCGTCCTGTGCTCCAGTCTGTGCTCCTGACACAAGGCAAGGGACGCCTTGTTGTCGCCGTACAGAACTGGAGGAGAACTAGGCCGCTCTCCCAAGTCAGTCAGCAGGTAGGTGAGCCAGCGTAACTCCTGTGCAGCCATGGCCGTGGCGTAGATCTCAGCCTCACAACTAGAGCTGAGAACAGAAGAAGAGCGGGTGGACCGCCACGAGACAGAACCAGAGCCAAGGCTGAAGGTGTAACCCTGCGACGACCGCTGCGTAGCCAAGTCGTCCACCCAAGAAGCGTCCGAGTGACCAGTGAGAACAACTCTGTCGCGTCCTCCAAGCACCAGCCCCATGCCTGATATACTGCACAAGTAACGCAGCACCCTCTTAGCAGCCTCCCAGTGCTCTCGCCTGTGTCTCCCAGGCGCAACGTAACGAGCAAGGATGCTAAGAGGGTACGCGAGGTCAGGTCGCGTGCAAGTCATCAGGTACATGAGGCAGCCTACAAGCTCTGGGTACGGGCCACTCGGCTCTACGGACTCGTCCGAAGGTGGAGCTGAGAGCGAGTGGCTGGTAGCCAGAGGTGTGGCCTGTGGTGAGGAGAACTGGAAGCCGAAGCGCTGAAGGACCTGCTGCACCATGTGTGACTGAGTCAGGGTGATGGTGCGGCGAGCTCTGTCCCGGGTGATCTGCAAGCCAAGGTAGCTACGCAGCTCACCCAGGTCAGTGCAGGTGTGTCTCTTCTGCAGCTCCGACTTCACACGAGCGAGTGCCTCAGTGTCAGCAGTAGCAAAGACCAAGTCGTCGACGTACACGAGAATGTAGAACGGCGGCAGCGACGTGTCTGTGCGCAGAAACAGCGACGGGTCAGCAGTAGACGGCGCGAACCCAAGGGCCGCAAGTGTAGTCCTCAGTGTGTCGTGCCACTCACGTGGCGCCTGGCGGAGACCGTAGACTGGCCGGCGGAGGCTCCACTGGGTACCAGGAGGAAACGACCCAGTAAAGCCAGGTGGGCGGCGCAGCCAGATCTCCTCGTGCAGGCTGCCCTGCAGGAAAGCTGTGCTGAAGTCAAGAGAGTGAAGCTCGTAGTCACGCTGAGCAGCAACGTGTAGCAGAACCCGAAGAGTGGTCATCTTCGGGGTGGGGGAGAAGGTCTGGAAGAAGTCAACCCCCTGGCGCTGACTGAAGCCTCTAGCAACGTAACGAGCCTTGAAGACAGGCGGAGAACCCGGCGGCCGCTTCACCCTGAAAATCCACATGCCATCGACGATGTTCGCCCCAGGAGGGGGAACCTCGTCGACGTAGGTGCCTGTGGACTTCCAGGATGCCATCTCTGCGTCCATGGCTGTCTGCCACTGAGAGGAGTAGGGACCCGAGATCGCCTCTGCGTAAGAGCGCGGAGTGGGGATGTCTAGTGCATCCGGGTCTCCCTCAGGGGCAAGCAACCAGGCCACGAGATGAGGTACAGCAGCCGCAAGAGAGTCAAAGTCCTCCTGCCTGTCCTCAAGGACGTCCGTGCCAAGAGCACACTCACCCCCGACGGACGGAGGACAGACAGACTCAGACTCAGCAACAAGACTGGCGGCGTAGTCTAGGCGACATGCAGCAGCAAAGTCGACAAGCTCAGCGACCAGGGCAGACGCAGCAGAAGACTCAAACGACGGGTCAGTGACAACAGTGGCGAGAAGACGCGTAACAGTAGGGTGGGCAGCACGAACACTGTCAGACTCAGGGTCGGGAACGTCAGGAAGAGAAGACGCAGGAGGAGACGGTAGGGGGACACGCTGTGGACCAGTGGAAGGACGAAGGGCCATAATATGCGTGCCAGGAACAGGAGGAGGACGCGGACGCGCGACACGACGACCAGTGGGACCAGTGCGCGCAGTGCGAGCAGTGCGAGTAGCACGAACAGGCGAGGCAGGACGAGACACAGGCTCACGACGCTCCGTAAGCGAGTCCGGCAGTGCAGTGTAAGGTACAGGAGCAGGGAGGGGGGAGCCAGGCTGGAGGGGAAGGCCAGTGGAAGACGGGAGGGAAAGAACCTGGCGAAGCACCGTGTCAGGCGGTGGCAAAGCCGACGGTGACGGAGGAGCGAAGAACAGGCGCGACGGCGGAGCTCCGCCAGCACCTCCAGCACCCGCAGCACCAGAAGCACCAGGACCAGCACCCTCCGCCGCAGCACCCCCAGAGTCGGCGACGTCAGCACCAGAGGCCCCAGCAGCGTCAGACCTCCCCTCGCCAGCACCTCCAGAACCAGCAGGACCACCGTGTCCAGAACCGTCAGCTCCAGTGTCGTCAGCTCCAGCAGCTCCAGTACCGCCAGGAAGAGCACCCCCAGAGCCGGTAGCTCCAACTCCGCTGGCACCGCCAGCTCCAGAGTCCCCAGCTCCAGCAGCTCCAGCCTCAGTGCTCCCAGAACAGCCAGTCCCGGCAGCTCCAGTACCTCCAGTACGAGCACCTCCAGGACGAGCAGCTCCAGAACCTCCAACTCCAGCAGGGCCACGAGGACGGCGAAAGCGCCGGACGTACCACTCACGAAGCTGCTGCGGTGTGAGAGACTGCTCAGCACCCCGAACCGGAGCACCCCCAGACGCAGCAACCCCAGGCTCCGTAGGCTCAGTCGCAGTACCCCCAGGCTCAGTGCCCCCAGGCGCAGCACCCCCAGGCTCAGCACCCCCAGACTCCGCACACGCAGGCTCAGCACCCCCAGTCGCAGCACCCCCAGGCTCAGCACCCCCAGGCTCCGAACTCTCAGGCACAGTACCCTCAGCTCCAGCACCCTCAGTCCCAGCACCCGCAGCCGCAGCACCCCCAGGCCCAGCACCCGCAGGCTCAGCACCCCCAGGCTCAGCACTCCCAGCAGCACCACCTGCAGCAGCACCTGAGTCACCTGTGACCTCGACAGGCTCAGCGACGGGAGGAGGGTCTACCTGAGAGACACCTGAAGGAGCAGGACCCTGAGGGGGAAGGGGGTCTACCGGAGGGGGACCAGGAGCGAGGAAAAGCGGCGGGGGAGGGAGGGGGGCAGTGCGGTAGGGGAAGAGACGGTAAAAAGGGACCGACTCGTCAAAGGTGACGTCCTGAGAGGCGAAGACCCGGCGCGAGGTGGGGTGGTAAAACTGCCAGCCAGGCGCGTCAGGGACAAAGCCAAGGAAGACACAGGGAAGCGTGCGGGAGGAGAGCTTGTCCGCGGACGTATCGCGGACAAGGGCACGAGCACCCCACACCCGGAAGCGCGACGCATCGCCAACCTCCCCCGTCCAACGCAGTGTGGGCGAGGTCTCCGGCAAGGAGACACGGGGCCAGAGGTTGAGCTGATGCGCGGCGTACCGGACAGCAAACGGCCACAGAAAATGGGGAGCCGCCGCATGGACCAAGGAGGTACGAGCGACCTCCATGACCAGGCCAATGCGGTGCTCAGCAACCCCATTCTGCTGTGGGGAGTCCGGAAGCGTGAAGGTCTGCTCGATGCCCTCCGCCTGACAGAAGGTCCTCAAGAGGTCGGAGGAGAACTCACCACCTCTGTCAGAGTGCAGACGCAGGACAGGAAGATCTGTCCG